TATCACACCAAATGTCAGTATCCCATTTAGAGCAGAGATGCTTGTAATATTACTGGCACTGTGGTTGGTGGAAGATTATGATCACAACATTTGGTGATATGCAGTGATGCAGCAAACAATTACAATAAGAGGAACCAAGTTCAAGTCTAGACCCAATACAGTGACAGATTTACCACAGAGTGTACAGAATTCAGATCAGGGAGGGAGCTGGGGTTTGTCTGGGTGCCAGCCCACGGGGATGCAAAGGATGTGCTCGGGATGGTGAAGTGAGAAGAACAGACTTGGTGACCAGACTAAGGTTAGAGCACTGTGGGCCGACTGACCAGACAACACCCGGAGGGCGGACCTGAGTGTGGTAATGCAGACATGACACATCCTCACTGAGGCAAGAATTATGGTCGTCAGAGGAGGAAGCTGCAGAGAACTAGAACATGATGCAATGTGTAAAACACTGCAGCATATAGCAAAGGAGAAAAGGTCTTTCTGAAGAAATGACTAGATCTGATGCATTATTGAAAAGATGCTGATCACTCAGAATGTGCTGCCTGTTGGAAAGTTGGTGTCTTTAAAGCTGTAAACGTACAGCAAAGCAAAAAATATGAAATGGTGAAAGAAAAAGTGGAAGTTAAAGAAATTAAAGATGAACATTTTATGACAGGACCATTTTCAGAACAGTTTATTGTTTATACAGTAAGAACTCAAAACTTAAAGAAAAGAATAAAGGAAGGAGCCGAAGGAATGGAAGAAGGGTGGAGGAAAGGAGGAAAGAGGGAAGAAGTAAAGTTGAAAGAAAGCAAGGACATACTGTAAGGATAAAAGAAAGGTAATGAAGTAGTGTGGAGGACAGAGGAAAGGGATGAGGAAGAAAGCAAGGACACATAGGAAGAAGGACAAATGGGGGAAATAAAGAAAGGAGTAAGGAAAGAAAGGAGGCGTGAAGAAGTGAAAGAAATAAGGATAGAAGGGAATAAGTAAATAGAGATTAGAGGAAGCAAGGAAAGACAGGAAGGACGAAGGAAAGATGTAAAGGCAGAATGAGTGAAAGACCCCAACTGATGAAGAAGAGCGACACAAACAATCACCTGGGGCAGTCTCTCCTCGCTGCAGCGTCTACTCTTCCTCACCAAAGAAGAACAGGAGCGTGGGCACCAGGTGCCGTCAGTGAGCAGTCGTTTTGTGTCTGTTATAATCACTTGAATCCATTTTACTATTACATTTATACATTTATATAAAGTTTTTTAACTTTTATTTTGGTTAGTTTTCAGGTGTTTAGCTCCCAGTCCATTGGTACTGTGCACTGGACGTGCAGGAGAGATCTGACCGATTCAACGTGTACATGTTCAAGCAGTGACATTTGTTTCCTTTCAGCTACAATGTAAAATGCTGCTGCAGGTTTTTGAAGCAGTGACATTTGTTTCCTTCCAGCTACAATGTAAAATGCTGCTGCAGGTGCACATGCACGTACCTTGTCTACAAATGTAAGTACATATTGAAGTTTAGAAGGTAAAGTTAAATTATGAGCTGCATCCAGGACCCGTTGTCATGGTTTTGCTTTGGAACCTTCTGTGATGACGCTGGGTTTTGTGTGACTGAATCAGCAGGTGTCACTGTTTGAACACCGAGGCTGCTGGACCTCAGTGTGTGTGCACGCTTGTATCTTGGTGAGGACCAGTTAAAGTTTTATCTGTCATCACTTCTTCAGCTCGGTGAGATGATGTCGGATTAAGGGTGGACCGGACTTCTTTATACTCAGTGTTTATCTCTGAGGGACAGCAGCCGATACGTATCATCACCTTACATGTTTATTTTTCAACCAGGAATGATGAAGACTAATCACAAAATGTTTATTCTCTAAGTTCTGATCTTTCATTCTTACTGTACGATTCACAGATTTTTGTTTCTCACACGCACAAACTACATGAACAGTGAAACGCAGGATGGACGCTCCTGAGGCTGGGCAGTAAGAACACCAGCTGAGCAAGAGTAAATAATAAGGAAATGAAAGCTGGTTGGCTGAGACAGCGCACATGTAGTAAAGGGACTAAAGTGACAGTCGACAGTGTGCTGCACAACGCTGAGGGTGTTCAGGGTTCTGTGCTGGACTCGTGGATACAGAGGTGTTTGTCCCAGTGTGTTGCTCCGGTGTTGAGGGTCACAGTCCAGATGTCTCCGGTCCTGCACCTCGAGTCGTGCACAGTGGGGAGACTCTGCAGGACTCTGGGGTTCAGACCAGGTGGATGTCTCCCGGCACC